TAACTAACTAACTAACTAACTAACTAACTAACTAACTAACTAACTAACTAAACGTCATAACTATCGGTAAATAAAAGACTTGAACTATTGCTTTAGTTAAACTTTCTATATGACTATAAATAAAAACAGTTTTTTTTGTGTTGTGTCAGTGGTCTATGTATGTGAATGTTTCTGTTCAGTGTCCTGAGACAACTTCTGTTGTGACTTGGCGCTATAGATATAGAAATGAACTGAATTGAATGGAAAAATTGAATTGGTTGGCACAGCTAACCAAAAAGGTAGCTTCGCTAACGCTAAACCACAAAAAATTTTTTTTAGCAGAAGCTGATGCTGTTACGCGCTAAGGCGATTTTCACTCCCTCCCGCTGTCTGCGTCAGACGTCTTTGTCTCCTTCCAGTTGAATCTGCGTCGACCAATCACGTTTTGTCATGTAGTCAGCCAATAGCATGCCTAACGGACTCTCTGAGACACGCCCACAAGGGACAGGAACAAGCCTGTGAATTTTGTTAGTGGACTTAAAAGTTGGTGAAACCTAATTTGGTGGAAGCTAATTCAGCTAGCTGTGTCCAAAGTTAGCAAAAACGCTAATCTGCTAAACAAAAACAATTTGTTCAGTGAATAGCCGTTGAGCCTGTGACTGGAAGGTTGCCGGTTCAACTCCCTGTGCCAACAACATTAAAATGTGGGTGGGATAGGTGAAGAACCCACACCTGCCTTCACCCTCATTTGTCCCACTCTGGGCCCTTGAGCAAGTCCCTTAACCACCACCACCTGCTCCCCCGGGCGCCCTAGCAGCTCTCTGCTCCACAGAGAGCTGTGGTAGCTCGGTGGTCTGTGGTTGTGTCATGAAGGACATCTTGTGTAAAAACAATTGTCAAGTCTTCGTGGGACTTAGTTCACTGTGGCGACCCCTGAAGAAGGGAGCAGCCGAAAGAAGAATCAGGACGTCACAATAAGCTGCAGGGAGCGTTTACCTGCACAGGTTCAGCTTCCTGACACTCTCCTCTGAGCAGCAGGTCTCCGTACTCTCCTATACACCAGCACGCCACCTGGACCAGAGGTTGCTGCACAAAACAGACAGAATTTATTCACAGTAGCAGTAAATATCAGTGAACAGCTCTCACAGAAAGTTAACGGAACCAAAGATACCAAACAATCATTCTAGGTGTTTGTGGCAGCTCGTCTTGTTTCGTCTGAGCAGGTTTTAAATTTAAACCTGATTTATTATCACTGCTGTGAAATCAAACTAACGTCATCTGGTTCACGACAGCAACCAAACTTTATCTTAGATTAAATATTCTACAACATAATCTATATCTACATGCAGATTGTTCCAGCAGTGATATGAAGAGATGCTGAATTAGCTTCAGGGAAGGTGTGTTTGGGTGTTTTCGTCCTCTGCTGGGATCAGACACGAGCCACACGTGCACACCTGAGAGATGTCTGTGAGCAGGGCCCGGTACAGCTTGTGAACGGTGTAGCAGTGCAGCTCAGAGGTGTTGGTGATCAGCTGGATCAGGTTGGGCACGGTCTCATCCCTCACGTCGCCCCCTGCCTGGTGGAGGGGGAATAACATGCAGAGCAGCTGGTGAGTATTTGGGTCAGAACACGTGGTTTGTCCAGACAAACGATCAGCAACTGTAATTTTACAAGCTGTTTCAGGCAGCCATGGAGGTCGCAGAAGGTATTTCTGAAAAGTCATTTGCCGATGAAGGAAGGAGTTTATTTATCTGCAGCTATCATTGATCTGTTTAAACTAATTGCTACAGATGCACAATATTGGATTTTTGGCCGATATCCGATATGCCGATATGTTAAAACTTATTTGGCCGATACCAACATCAATATTTTTTTCCCGTAGACCTACTTACAGAGACTACATCGCTTTCTCTGCTGTGGAATTAAAATACTACATTATTCTGCATGGTCTTTGTCAATTTGGCCTGCTACCAAATGCAGATGACAAAAAAGGGGCTGAAAATGATGTAAAACTATATAAATATATAAAAAAACAGTGTCTTTTATATCGGTGAGTTATTTTGATGGAATGGCCAATGTCCGATATTTAACTTTATCGCTACTATTGGCCGATACTGATACCACGCCGATAATATCGTGCATCCCTACTAATTGCTTCAACAAACCATGTCCAGTGGAGACAGATGGTAGTCAGGAGAGAAGTGAAAATGAGTTTTACTTTATAAAAGTCCCACATACACAGAAAATCTCTGCTGTACGTTCATTTAAATTCTGTTAGAAACAAACGGCATGCAAACATCTGGGCAAATAAACAGCTACTGCGAGATTATCGTTATTTTTGCTGTTTGAAAATGAATAAATGAAAGGAGGCCTTTACATGCTGAAGACATTTAAATGCTTACTTTTGTCTAAAAAGAGCTGGACTGAAAAATAAAAGATGGCATCAGCAGTGATATCTACTTGGAGCGCTGCAGCGCCAAATTTTTCTAAAAACGTTTAAACATTTTTTTAAAACTAAAGTCCAGCAAGTAAAATCTCTGATTAGTTTTTATATGCTGCAGATCAAAACACCTAGGCCTGTCATGATAAACAATAAATCAGTCACATGATAAATGAAAATTATCTACCTCGTTTTCATTTATCGGCTTTATCGTTTCTTCGTGTCTCTCTTTCTACTGAAGACATTCGATGACAAAAGGATCAAATCTGTTAAAATCTGTTTTAACCGTACAAAATCAAGTTTTTGGATCGTTAAAAGCAGCTAAGCTGAGAAGCTAAGCTACGAGCTAAGCTAACAGACTGACCTCAGGAAAAACCTCCGTCTTGTCAAAGCTCAAAAATTCACTGTTGAAACCAGTGCCTTCGTGTAAAAAGTTGCTTTTCTTTGCAAAAGAAGCTGAGAACTTGTTTACTGATTTTTAAATTTTTTTTAATTAAGTTTTGTGTGATAAATGCTATACTAAAGAGCTCAAACCACACCGAGCGTCCACCATTTTGAGAACCAAAAAAAAAGGAACGAGAGCCAGCCCGTCAAGGGGCCTCCCTTCCATTTACTTAAGCGACACGCTGCTCGCTCCCTCACTATCCATCCTTTGGTTCAAACAGTCTTATATTGACATCTGGTGGTCAAAAATGGTACTACATGCAAAACAAATTAACCAACATTTCTCTTTAAATTTGACAATAATTGGGAATTATTGTCAAATTTCAAACATTATTGTTTTTCTCAATAATTTCTGAGACAATTAGTCGCCCAGTAAAATTTGTTATCGTGACAGATCTAAAAACACATTTTTACAGCAGATTGTAAATTGTGGCTTTGATTCTCTCCAACAGTCTGTGAACCCCACTCTGCTGTGACAGAGCGTCTCCAACTACTTCCTGTTGTAAAAAACTTATGAACTGCAGATTAAAGAGTCCAGACAAATTCATTCTGCTAAAAATGAAGCCTTTAAACTTGGTTTAAAAAACCAGATTATGTGTTTATGTATTACTGAACATATGAGAGAAAACGTCCCATCAACAGTTTGACTCAGAACGGCTACTTGAACTCCTCAGAGAAAAAAAACAAGTTTCAAAGTAAAACGCTGGAGGAACCCGTTCTGATGACCTCTGACTGGACTCCAACATCATCCAAACTATTTTCTGCTTTTATTTCAAATTAAAGCATGACTAATTCAACTGACTCAAAGGTGCACTGCAGATGAGGTGCAGCTAAAATAAAATCACTAGAATAAATATGTAGAAACAAGCTGGGATGTTTTGGGGGTAATGGAGGAGTCGCCCTGCGCTGCGATTACAAAGAATGGACGTTAAAAATATTTCTGCTTTAAGTCTCGTTCTGGAGGTTCGTCCATCTTTGCTCCAGTGTGCAGAAGGTGAGAAGCAGCAGGCGTGTGGTGCAGACTACACTTACCGTGGTGAGGACATGCAGGATGGTGTCAATGTGCCAACGCTGGGAGGGGGCATACCTGACACACACACATTGTGCTCATTGGTGAGTAACACACACACAAACACACGGGATCAACTGTCATCTGTGTCCTCCGCCAACAAATATTGCTGTCAGTCAGTGAATGACACGCAGAGGAAACGCACGAGGCGTTCACTGTCGAAGATCTCTGAGCGCAGACTGAGCCGAGTTTAAAAACAGACACTTTACTGTTACAGCCTCGGCACAAGTGTCCACAACGTTTGAGAAAACAGTCCATTAACATGCACGTGGACCTTCAGCGTGCACATCTTCAGCCCACTTTTGTTCGTTTGTTGCATTTTACATGAAGAGAAGTGCAGCATCTTTAGTTTCATGAAAGGCCTGTCTGCCATATGCAGTACATCATCGCTGTTATTGTAGCTGAAATGTTGCCTCACCTTTCAGCAGCGTTGAAAATGCCACTAGCAGCTTGAGACCTGAGCTCAGGGGGGCAGGAGGAGAGGAAGATGAGCAGCTCCTTCATCATAGAGCGGATGTTGGAGGCTGACACCAAAGCCAAGGAGAGCTCCAAAGCACGCCTAGATGGATGGAAGAGGTGGTAACAGATCCTTTCTTACTCTGATGACGGGTGCTCAGTTTGCATTCACATGATGAGATACAGTTTTAATATTTATGCTGATCAACTCTTTCACAAGTTAATCTGGAAAAATAAAACGGTGGAGTTATTTTGCAACCCACTGACCTGACTGTACAGACTGAGACAACAACACCTGGAGTATTGTTGCAATATAATCTTAAAAGAGCTGGGCATCAGTTGTTATGCTACATCAAATGCAGAAGGTAATTTTATTATTAAGTTAGTTTTCGGAAACACAGAATTTTTTACAGACAGATACAAAAAAAAAGTAAGCAGCTTCCAAGACAGACTGAGTGGTTGGAGTAAATACAGTTAATCTTTGTAACGCTTCTTTTAACAAAAACTAGCACACAGGCAAAATGTCATGTATGTATGTAAAGTGAGTACGTGTGTATTATATACATGCACATTTAAATATACAGTAAATGTGTGTATGTATATGGACAGTAGATATCTGTCATTTTGTAGACCGCTGAGTCTATGAACAGGGTAAGCAAGTATAAGCCTTAGCTTAAGCCTATTCCTTTTTTGGTAAATGGTTGATTTACCGTTTTATATTGTTTTCCTTTTTTGTAAAGTTTTTAATTTACCAAAATAAAGTTGAGTTGAGAGCATCATGTTGTCTGAAAAGACACACAAATCAGCTCTGACCAACCAGCTCTGGTGCTGATTCTGATGCTTCAGACGTACAGCTGATGAAATCCCCGTCACGTGGACAGGCTGCATCAGCGGGCGAATTTTAAACCAGCGGTAGAAAACTCACATGTCAACATAGTTTGTGCTGGACATGGGTGCACTCGTTTAAAAAGGCAGAATAAGACCGTTTGTTTGTTTTTAACTAAAACATGGAGAAACGTGCTGAAAAAAGCCTCATCATCTCCACCTGCTCCCAGTTTGTCCAGTCCCACCTGCAGCCACTCTCCCCATCAGCCTCAGCTCCATATATTCTGGAGCATTAAGACTTCCTCAAGTCCAGTACCTGCCCTTGTGTTGCTACCTGTGTTTTCTAACATGGTCTTTTTTTTCTGATTAGTTCTGCTGCAATAACAGCACTTTGATTTTGTTCTAGTTGGATTGTTGAACTTCTTGTGTTGGACTGCATTTCTGGGTTCAGAACCCCCTAAAGCCAGTTGTGAGACAGAAGTGTGTGTTGCAGTTCTCAGCATGAACCCATCACATGTTCAACAGCAGGTCTGTTTGGAGCAGCGAGGGAAAGAAAGACGGAGGCCGATTAATATCAGCCAACATCCCATCTCCTTTACTGAACCCAGGGAGAATGTTAAATTATTTTTTTAAACATTAAAAAACACTCAAAGTTACCGTTTGACAGACGCATCAGGGTCCTTCAGGCAGTCTACTATAGTCCCCCGGTGCCGCTGCACTGCAATATGGTCCGTTATCACAATCTTCTGAAGAGAAATCATGGCGATGTACCTTAAACACGCACACAGGAAGGCCAAGTAAGGAAGATGAAAAGCTTTATTTTGTTGCTGCATCAACAGAACAACAGAAGCTGAGTTCACATAGATCTACAGCGGTGTCTGCAAAACAAAAACATTACACCAAAACCACTAAAACATACTGGTAAATAACAATGACTCAGTAACTGATAAATTCACAGCTTTCCTGAACCAGTCCCCTACAACACGAAACTTAAGGCCAAATCTGCCCCATGATAACATCCATCCATGTACAGGTCCCATTCCTGCCCTGTTCATTTTGGTGTTCCACAGGGTTCTGTTTTGGGGCCATTACTGTTTCTGCTCCATCTGCTCCCTCTTGGTCCAATACTTTCATCTTTTAAGGATATCTCCTGTTATTGTTATGCTGATGACATCCAGTTGTATATTTCTTTTCTTCCAAATGAACTTTCAAAGCTACACATTTTACTTAACTGTTTGGATTCAATTAAAAACTGGATGACTGAAAGTTTTCTCCAGCTAAATAGAAAAAAAACTGAAGTAATCATCTTTGCTCCAGAAAAAAACTACTGCAATGATAAATCAGATCTTTTGGCCTCTTCAGCATTTTGCCAAATTTTTCATTCATTCAACCTTTATTTAGACAGGTTAATCCCATTGAGCTTCGAGGACTCATTTACAAGAGAGACCTGATTTCAACAAAGAATGATGACAACAGTAAACAACAACGACAACAATAGACAGTTATAAAAAGGCATATAGATTAAAAAGAAAAATAAGATGGCAAAAAAGTATCAAAAACAGCTAGATTCTAAGGCGAATGTAGAAAACTAAAAACAGGCACATGTCTGCATTGGTCCCTGCCAGGAGTCCAACAGATTCTTAAAGCCACTTAGAGAGGTCAAGGTCGAGAGCTTCCTCAGTTAGAAACCTTGGGATAACCTTTGACTCAGGTTTCACTCTGGAAACTCATGTAAAGTCTCTGGCTCGTTCCTGTTTCTACCACCTGCGAAATGTTGCCAAGCTTAGCCATATTGTTTTTCGTCCAGAATTGGAAATGTTCATTTATGCTTTTGTTTCATCTCGCCTGGATTTTTGTGATGCACTGTACACTTGTTTAACCAAAACCTCCCTAGACCGGTTGCAGATTATACAGAATGCTGCAGCTAGACTCCTGACTGGATCTTCAAAGTTTTGTCATATAACTCCACTTCTAAAGCAACACCATTGGCTCCCAGTTCATTATTGAGTGGATTTCAAGGGTTTGGCTGTGACTTGGCAAGCTCTGCATGGACAGACACCAATACACATCTCAGAACTTTTACATGTCTACACCCCGATCAGGGCTTCGAGGTCCTGTGATCAAGACCTGCTGATTGTCCCCCAGACAAAACTGAAAACTAAAGGAGACAGAGACTTTTCTTCTGTGGCTCCAAGACTCTGGAACTCCCTTTCTCAATCTCTCAGATCAGTGGACTCAGTGGCTTCTTTTAAAGGCCAGCTAAAAACTAATCTTTTTAATTGTGGCTTTGTTTAAATTTGTTTTGTGCACTTTTTGTATTTAGTTTGTCAAAGCACTTTGTGATTTTTATCTTGAGAAGCATTATATAAAGTTTTACTTATTTCCATCCATTCATCCATCGTCTTTACCTGCTTCTTTCTTCCTTTTGGGGTAGCAGGGGTCGCTGGGGCCCATGTCCAGCTGTCACTGTGTGAGAGCTGGGGGACACCCTGGACAGGTCTCCAGTCCATCACATGGACACATAGAGACAAACAACCATTCCCTCTCTCACTCTCACATAGAGACAATTTAGAGTTACCAAATAACCTAACATGCATGTTTTTGGTCTGTGGGAGGAAACTGGAGTACCAGGAGAAAACCCACGCATGCACAGAGAGAATATGCAAACTCCACCCAGAAAGGCCCCTGGACCAGGATTTGAACTGTGATGGCCTGCTCGCTGAGAGGCAGCAGTTCTACCAACTGCACCACAGTGCTGCCTCCAAGACGATATTTTAAAAGGTAACATATTTTATTGCTTCTCATTTTGCTTAAAAAAACTGATCATACTTCATTTATCGCAGACTTCTCATGACAGCTGGCTAACTGTGAAGCCAGAACAAAATGTTGAATTTTTCATTAATCTTTGATTTTGACATGAGAGGGCAACGGACACTGATCAAACTCCTGTTGATGAACCTACAACCAGTAAAATATGTTGAGTATCTGACGGGTTATGTATTGAGTGAAATTGGACCAGGTTTAAATTTAGTCCCCTTTTATGCAGGTGTGCAGTGGAGAGCATCCTGTGCTCCAACATCAACGTGTGGCATGGAGGCTGCACAGCTGCAGAAAGAAAAGCTTTGCAGAGAGTGGTGAAGGCTGCACAGAAGATGTTGGAGTCAGTCTCCCCACCATCACAGACATCTACACCTCCAGATGCAGGAAGAGGGCCACCTGCATCATGAAGGACCTCACTCACCCAGCACACACACTTTTTGCCCCGCTCCTCTCAGTCAAGAGGTTGAGGAACATTAAGTGTGGAACCACTAGACTGAGGAACAGCTTCTACCCTGAAGCTGTTATAATCTCTAACCAGAATAATCACCGTGAAGCCACTTTAACTGGTGATGTGACTTATCTGTGCTGCTGATTATTACCCATAAGCTCCTATATTCATATCCATCTGCTCACAACAAACTCATGCTCAGGCTGCTGTTTAATACACTGTATTATATTATATTATTATTTAGTGTATATTTTAGATCCTTGTATCCTGTTTCTTCTTTTCTTTACCTGACTGATCATTGTTGGATTTTTACCTGGATTAATGAGCATGAACTTTGGTGTTTCTTTAATATACTTTATATTTTAACTATTTTTGGGTGTAACTTGGACCTTGCGTACACAATTTCGTTCCACCTCTTGTACCACATGTGATGTGAATGACAATAAAAAAACCTTGAACCTTAAACCTTTTTGTAATGGAGTTTGACACATCTGCAAAAACAAAAGTTCAGCTGAAATAATGACAGTGACTGGTGATTCAGGTCTGACAGGAAAAAACCTGCTTCATTACTGGAGCGGCTCTGCAGGAGAAAACCAGACAGACCAGTCTACCCACAGAGCCCCTATGGAGTCAATAATTAAAAAAAACAAAACATCTAGGAACCTGTGATATGCCTCTACAATGTTTGTGGAAAAAGAAACATGGCTGGAAACTGAGGAAAAAGAGGCCGCACTGACCGGATATTCCTGTCGTTGTTCAGGAGAAACCTTCCCAGAATGTTGACCGCGAGAACCTGTGAAACAAGTCAACCCGTGAGCGTCTGTCCTCAGACTGTTCTGACGAATTATTGTGGTCACAAGTGTCTCACTCTGAGGCCGCTCTCTGACTTTATGTCCAACACGGTGAGGACTGTCTCGTACAGAACAGCGTTCCCCACGGTCTTCGTACTGTCCGTGTTGGTCGCCACCTTTAAAAGCAAAACCCACAGAAGATCTCAGCACCCAACTTTACAGAATAAGGGACATGAGACGTTCCTTAACGCTGCACAGTCCAGGGTGTTAGGAACATAATGTGTTGTGGAAAATGACCATTGAACCTGAGCAAGGAGGTCGTTCATGGCATCGCTTGCTGCTTCGTTGTTCCGACCGAGGACTCTGAGCAACCTTAGGACCCGAACCTGCAGAACCAGACACAGTCGATGGAAAAATCAACCAGAAAGATCAAAATATACAAAATCACATGTGGTTTCTGTTAGCAAACTAAAATTTATTGCTCAACACTTGTCTGTCTCTTCCGAAGGGACCCCGAGGCGTTCCCAGACCAGAGAGGCCAAATAGTCCCTTCAGAGCTCTGGGTCTGATCCAGGGTCTCAGAAAACCTCCAGACAGAGTCACCCAGGAGGATCCTGATCAGATGAGCACCTACGCCGACTCCTTTCATTAAGGAGGAGCGGCGGCTCTTTTTCCAGCTCCTCATCCTGTTTAAGGCTGAGTTTGGCCCAGAGGAGGAGCTCCTCAGGGGAGAAACAAAACTTCTTCAAGAATAACGAACTGAAGTCCCCAGTCAAGTCCTGCTGGAAAATGAAACCAGCATCTCCATAAAGCTGGTCAGCAGCAGGAAGCATGAAGAGCTCTAAAATGTCCTGCTAGATGCTGCGTGGACTTCAGAAAACCCAGTGGACCAGAACCAGTATGGACCAACATGGACCAGCTCTGCGTCTGCCCCGGAGTCTGACTGTGGAAACTTTTTATTTTAATTTTATGTTTTTATCAGAAGATTTGTGGTTTTAATGTTGACTCTACTTTTATGAGAATGTTTTAATCATGTTTTATTGAGTCTCTTAACTTTCACCTTCATCCATGTCGGACTCCGTAGTTTTCTCCGGCCCCCTCCCCAACCTGATCAGCGATGACATGTTTAGCCGTATGTCGTCGTTTAACCGCTGGGTGTCCAGGTGGTGTTCTGACAACGACGTGGGCTACAAAGATAACTGGAGTTCTTTCTGGGGAAAACCTGGTCTGATGCGGAGAGATGGCGTCCATCCCACTTTGGACGGAGCCGCTCTTCTTTCTAGAAATATGGCTGATTTTGTTTATCCCCCAAATTATTGACAACCCAGGGTCCAGTCCAGGAAGCAGAGTTGTAGTCCTCCACACCTCTCTGCTGCTTCAACTCTGTTACCCACCCACACCCACATTGAAACAGTGTCAACTCGCCCACGGCTCAAATTAAATAAACCAAAAATCAACTCTAAAAATATAAACCATAAAAATCTGATTAAAATAAACACAGTTACTTTACCAGAGCAAAATCATAAAATCATTAAATGTGGATTATTGAACATCAGATCTCTTTCCTCTAAATCCCTGTTAGTTAATGAACTGATCATCATATTGATTTATTCTGTCTGACAGAAACTTGGCTACAACAGGAGGATTTTGTTGGTATAAATGAATCCACTCCTGTTAATTATTTAAATGTTCATGTTCCTAGAACAACTGGCCGAGGTGGAGGAGTAGCTTCTATTTTTCAGTCAGGATTATTGATTAATGCCAAACCAGTTATTAGTTATGATTCTTTTGAATCACTGTCCCTCAGTCTTTCTCATCCGAAATGGAAATCAGAAAAGCCACTTTTACTAGTTGTTATATATCGTCCACCAGGCGCTTACTCTCAGTTTTTGTCCGAATTCTCAGAATTATTAACTGACTTATTATTAAATACTGATAAAATCATCATAATGGGTGATTTCAATATTCATGTGGATGTTGAGAGTGATAGCTTAAGCATAGCCTTTAATAATTTAATAGACTCGTTTGGTTTTACCCAAAACGTCTGCACATCTACTCATTCTTATCATCACACTCTTGATTTAGTTCTGACCTATGGTGTAGAGATTAAGGACTTGGCAATAGTTCCTCAAAATCCTATTCTGTCTGACCATTTTTTAATAACCTTTGAGTTTACATTAAATGACTACACAGTCACTGAGAGTAAATTTCATCTCAGCAGGTGCATATCAGGAAATGCTGCAACCAAATTTAAACAATCTCTTCCATCAATATTTTCCTCTGTCTTGCAGAGTAATGCATCAGAGAACAGTGACTTAGATCATCTAGTTGATCATCTTACAACTTCAATGCAAACTTCACTTCATAAAATTGCTCCACTGAAAAAGAAAGTAATCAATCAGAGGAAACTGGCTCCTTGGTTCAATTCTGAGTTACATACTTTAAAGTAGGGATGCACCGATCCACTTTTTTTTTTACTTCTGATCCGATCCCCGAGTCTGTAATCGGCCGATACCGATCCAGTTCCGATATCATGATCATCATTGATTTTACATGAGGCTGTAATAATCTCCTCTCAAGTACAATTTGTACAAATATATGCATGCATGTCCAAAAAGGCAACTTGAGGTAAGTTTTATTAATGTTGGATAAGTTTTAAAATTAGAATTAAATTCTAACACAAAACATGTTTCTTTTTATTCCTAGCGTTAAAGTGGATATTAAAGTGATTAATTTAAGTGATTGTTTAAAGTTATTTTATATTTTTTTAAATAAGGGGCAGATATAAGAATTATTTTCTCCTTTCTGCACTCTTTTCATTCAATGTTTTCTTTTTCATTATTTTTTTTAAATTTTGTTTCTTTTAAATGAATGAATTAAATTAAATGTTAAATGGCTTCAAACATCTGCTAAGTTCATGACATAAACCAACAGAAATGTTCCTGTTTTTAGTATTTTACATCACTTTATAATGTAGCTGTTTTTGTTTTTAATATATATAATTTTCAAATCATATGTTTTTTATGATTGTCTACTGTTGTACTGATAAATATCTCCTGCAGGGTAAACTATATCTTGACTGCAAGTATCAAAATGTGAAATCCTTCATTTTCTACAACTGATAGTGGTTGGTCATTAATTATGAAGTTTATCAACTTCTCTGTAAACATTTGAGCTCCGTGGTTTCAGCGATGTCTTCTTCTTGTTCAATCCGAAGCAGGCAGTCTGATTTAGGGCAGCCGCGCTCAGTCTGTCCCTCCTCAGAGACGGGCAGACTGAGCGGGGCAGATTGGACACGGCTGGCCGGGGTCCAGTCGCCTCTTTCGCTTTGACCAAAGAGCAGCGCCCCGCTGAAGCCACGGAGCTCAAATGTCCATCGTAAAACTAACTTTACCGCAGTTTAATGTGGCGCTATGGCTCTGCAGACATTGTACGTTGCTGTCTTGCTTTGTGGTGTTTAGTGTAAAATACTTCCACACAGCGGACATGTTTAGATGAAAAGTTTGTTAGCTGTTACCCACAGTGCTGCTAACTCAGTCCTCACGTTGTAGCTGGCTGCAAACTATGAACTGGATTTCCTGAATGTGAGGCGGGTCTTATTACTCTGGGCTCATGAGACATTCCACCGTTCAGGAAATCCATTCCATAGTTTGAAGCCAACATGCATCATGGATCGGAAATATCAGCAGGTGGATCGGAAAAATCTGATACGTAAATTATGCTGGTATCGGATGTCGATACCGATACTGGATCGGATCGGCCCCATCCCTACTTTAAAGCAGGCATCTAGAAACCAGGAGAGAAAATGGCGCTCTACTAATGTTGAAGAATTTTATTTAACTTGGAAAGATAGGCTGCTAACATATAAAAAAGCTCTCCATAAAGCTATAACTTTATATTACGCATCTTTAATAGAGGAGAATAAAAATAACCCTAGGTTTCTGTTTAGTACTATTGCTAGACTAATTAAAAGTCCCATATCTGTTGAACCATGTATCCTACAATTATAAGTAGTGATGACTTCATGAGATTCTTTATAAATAAAATTATTTCAATTAGAGAGAAAATTCAAACCATCCTTCCTTCTACTATCTCTAGTCCCCTGTCAAATGAGGCAACTTTAAAAATTTCACTAGAGCCTGATTTATGTTTGGACAGTTTTTGTCCTGTTGAGCTCTGAATTGTCAAAAATAATAACCTCATCTAGAACAGATACAGAACTTCCCTGATATACAGAACCTTACTGACCTACAGAACCTCCCTGACCTACAGAACCTCCCTGACCTACAGAACCTCCCTGACCTACAGAACCTCCCTGACCTACAGAACTTCCTTGATCTACAGAACTTCCCTGATATACAGAACCTCACTGACCTACAGAACCTCACTGACCTACAGAACTTCCTTGATCTACAGAACTTCCCTGATATACAGAACCTCCCTGACCTACAGAACCTCCCTGACCTACAGAACTTCCTTGAACTACAGAACTTCCCTGATATACAGAACCTCCCTGACCTACAGAACCTCACTGACCTACAGAACCTCCCTGATATACAGAACCTCCCTGACCTACAGAACCTCCCTGACCTGCACAAGGCGAGGTCAGTGAACCAGGCTGGTTCTGGCAGATCCTGATCCACTTCATGGTGAGACCAGTTCCGTTTATTTATATAGCACCAAGTCACAACAGAAGTCATCTTGGGGCACTGAACAGAAACATTCATTTATGAAAATAACAATTTAACATTATTTATCTGAGGAGCAGACTACTTCGAGTTTAGCTTCATCACAGACTCTCATCCTGAGCAAGCATGAAGGCGACAGTGGAAAGGAAAACTCCCTCAGTTCAGGTTGTTTCTGTCTGGACGCAGGTATCTGCTGCCCACATGTAGGATGAAAACCTCATTCATCCCTGCAGGCTTCTCAATGAATTGATTTTTAATGATTGATTAATGTTTTTAACTGATCAGGATGAGACACCAGGAGTTTACAATAATGACCCTCTTCACAACATTCTTGTTTTCTGAGACACTGAGTTTTGGATTTTCCTTATCTGTGAGCCAAATTCATCAGAATTATAAGAAATAAAGGCTTCAAGTCCAACAATGTTAAGTCAGGTCCTCTGGACGGTTTCTTTTTGATGAAATATTTTGTCTTTCATCCAAAGGACTTCGTCAGTCCGAGGAGCCACAACAAACTCAGTCTTAAAAAGGCTTGAAACGTTTCATTCTATTTCATTTGAGTTTCATGGATTCTGAAAAAACTGACAGACAAAAAAAACCTTTTCATGATATTCACATTTTTTGAAACACACCTGCATATATAGTGGTGGCCATTTTGGATTTTGACATGACAAGCTAAATTTTGATGGTGACCTTTCTCACACCCAGATGCAGCCACACACCAAAATGGAAGTCTGCACCTCACGGTTTTCCAATCTTGCACAACACAGATGGACGGATGGATGAGCAGAAAGAAGGAATTTCTTCACTTCGTGACGGGGGACATTACATCAGGAAGAGATATTTATAAATAATATTTTACAAGATGAAAATGAAAACTGACCTGCAGGAAAGGATCGCTGACTCCTGCAACGTCATGGTCAGGAGAATAACCCGAGATGATCAGGCCCTTCATGATCTGGACCAGATCTGGGACTGTCTGGGAAACACACAACACGCTTGTTACATCACACGTTTCAGCAAGCGTGTGTGTGTTTGTGCATCAATCGGACCTTCCTGAACCGCTCCAGAGTTTCTGGGCTCCTTTCACACAACTCAGTGATCAACACAACAGCACCATGTAACACACCTGCGGACAAACAAATGCAAAACGACAAACATTCAAATATTTAAAAGAACATTTAAGAGACGTTCAACTGGTCCTGCAGATCTACAAACCGTGGTTCTTCTCAGACAGGAGGGAGCGAGCGGAGGGGGCAAAGAGTTCTCCGAGGTCCTGGACTTTTCTGACGATGTGAACGGCACATAAAGCAGCCTGAGGGGTCAGCGGAACAAAAACACAACACTAGTTTATATTCAGAATCCATCCAATAAGAAGTTACACCATCCTTTCTAGAACTGTGCCGCTCAGGGTGGCTGCATGTTGGAGCATCTCTGTTACTTTCACTCCGAGATGTTGCTTTTCAAAACTTTAATTCCTCTTTTTCTGGATGTAAATCACATTTTTTGGATGATTGTTTCCTCTGGTATCGGATGCTGTGCAGCTGGAAGGATTTTTACTGAAACTTTTTTACTTTTGGACATTTATTATGAAGTGTAACCATAACAAGTTGTTTTTTTTCCTTTACAACCAGGAGCAGCTGATTAACATCTCAAAAGCTCAAATAATCTCAACTACAGCCCCAAATCTCAAATTAGTAAAAAGGAGTCTCCGTGGATGCATTCCCGTCTACCTGCCAGCTGTGCTTGAGTGCCTGACCACTGAGATTCTAAGATCTCTTAAGGCGATCCTAGAACTGGCAAGAAACACGGCTCGTGACAGCTGAAGGACTGGGATCATCTCCCGGCACCTGCAACCGGCTGTCTGGAGCAACGAGGAGCTCGACAGGCTGCTGGGAGGAGTGGCCTTCATTCTGTGAGGAGTTCTACCTTGCATTCAGGTGATCCTGCAGCCCAGGGGAACTGAGAAGCCAGCTGAGTCTGGGTGGACGGATTGCATGTGATTGAACTGTGGCCAGTTCTTTTGGATCTGCTGTGGGATGGACCTTTACAAGAGATCCTTCCTGTCTACATCCATCAGTGTCTATAACATCTCTTAATGAAATGAGGATAATGAGCTGCATCAACATTTAATTTCCCATTGGGATTAATAAAGTATTACTGAACTGAATTTAATCCTATAGCAGGTACCGACATTGACACAAATAACTGAAATAAAAACACATTTTACACAATAGTCAAGTTAGATTGTACATATTTTATCTATGACATACTCATACAGAAGATAATGTGCTCATCAGCAATCTGTGTTTTGGCTTGAATGAACTGCTGAGCTCAGTCTGGAGCCTCAGGGAGGATTCTGACGGGCGGGCCACAAGAACCACGAGAAAAGTGGAATTTGTAACTCGGACGTCAAAGATTTCACAGCTCTTTAGGGAAAAGCTACACTGTAGCCTGGCTCCATGTGTTAAAAACCAACCACTGTTCCATGCAGCAGTCTGTGTCGTAACACCAACACTGTGGAGGGAAAACTGCTGGGGCCAAGTCAAACAAAGTCTGAAGACAGAACAGCCTGATGGAGAAATACACAACACGGTTGGCATGAACCATAAAAAATGTATGTTCTTGGTTTTATAAACAACTTTCATGTTGCCTCAGTCTGTGCAGAGTTCACCTGAACCCTCCTTTCAAATCCTTCAGTGATTCTTTACAGTTTTTCTTAATTGTTCACACACAAATCCTGAAACTTGAGACCCAATGACCACAACATGTACCTCATGCACCAACTGCCTGAACCAATTCTGCTAAACTACAAGCAGTTTCTGCTTTACACTCAAACTGCAGTTCTAAAACACACTCTTTTCAAAACACTACACACAATTTTCTGCATTTGGTACAATTTTCATGAAGTAAATCTCTTCAAGGTTCATCTCAACCATCCAGGTAAAAAAAAAATGATACAACAACGTTCAGTCAGACAAACAAACAGAAAAGAAACCGTCCAGATGACCAGACTGAACATTGTTGGATTGTTTACCTGGATCACTGAGCATGAACTTTGATGTCTTGAACCACTTCGGCTGTGGAAGCTTGGGAGGAGTCGACGGGGGAGAGGACAGCCCCCAGAAACCATCTTCTCAGCAGCAAACTGGTTGGTCTACTGTAGGACTGTACTCCTTGGTGGGGAAAACAGGAGTCCCAAACAAGACTCCTCAGACTGATGAAGCCCTTTGGATGGAGGGCGAAACTTCTCTCAACAAAAGAAACTGTCCAGATGACCTGACTGAACATTGTTGGAAGTAAATCTCTTGTTTTCACAAGGAACACACTGTTATTCAAAATTCTAAAATGTACTGCCCTACTGTGCACACTGACTCATCACAAGGGCAAACACCGTTCACTCAGTTTTACAATTAGCTATCAGAGCTTTAGCATGAAAAGTCAACAGGTGTGGTCTTCTGTTTTGGAGCGATGGATGCCAACGTTGGAAACAGAGGCAGAGCCAGAGGAGTGAGAGTGAGAGGATGAGGATGAGGAAGGCCAAGGAGCATAATCTCTGATGAGATCCAAGGCACTTTGGTCGACCATGGTCTATCAATGAGGGAGGCTGGACAAAGAGTACAGTCAAATTTGAGCAGGTACCCTGTAGAACCCATCATCTGGACTTTCTGAAATGAGAACAGATAAGAAATCTACTCTCACTAGAAAACTGCAGTACTGAGTATCATTGCAGTACTCAATGAAAACTCACTCATCCCTGCAGTGATCAGGCTTCTCAACAAACAGTGATCTCTGTTCTGTTACTTTAAACTCTCCATGTCTTTAGTGTGGATGTTTTGTGCCTCCTGAGTGTGAAACTAATGGTCCCACGGGGATAATAAAGACTCTTGAACTTGAACAATGAGTACAGTAGTACTGTAGTACCAGACTGTTCTGTAGGACTGTAAAAATGAAGTATGTTTCAAGTATTTGGGAAATGTATTCCTATTTGTATTCCTACACAGTGTTTATAGTATTTTACTATTTGTATTGCAGAACTGAAAGATCATCAACACAAGGTGGACAGGAACGTCTTCCGTCTCCTCAACAGGAAACTGAAATTGTGAACATGGTCCAAGAAAATAATGTCCTAACATTACAGCTAATACAAAAAGAAATAATAGAAAACAACGAGATATTTCAAAATATTGACAGAGTAAGATTATCAATGCTGGACCGTGTCTTGTGCAGAAATAATCTGAGGCTGCAGCATAGTTTTTATTTTATATTTTTTACTGTAACTGTATAAATTCTTCAGTTGTACTGTATACAGTATGTAGAGTACTGTATGTGCACCTTTGTGTTGGTTGGGATGTACACTGTGTACATTGTTTTTGTGGGAAAAATAAAATGTATATGCTTCTGTGTGTTCTGAGTATAAAAACAATATTCTGAAATATTTCACAACACACTGTATACACAGTCTGTAGTAAAACTGAACAAAATAAAGGCCCGTGTCGTTCTGATGATTGGAAAGTGTTTTACAGAGTACATCAGTGTTCAGCTGGTTCTTATACATGTCTTCATATGATGTTTGTGTCATCTGAGAACAAAATACCATTTTGAGAAGAGAACGTTGTTTTGAATGTAAAGTTTCATTTTGAAGGAGAATTGGGGGTTTTGATCGTTGTGTGTGTGTGTTTGACTTCTCTGTAGAGCATGACGCATGCTTTCAGTAAATGTGTGTAAACAATTGAGAAAAACAAGTGCCGTCTACTGCAAGTAGGACACTTACTTCTCCTCACTGCTTCAGACAATCACACGTGTAAAAAAATAAAACATCCTTTGCTGTGGAACCACTTCTGAAAGTCTAAGAATGTGTGTTTTAAACTGTTGTAGCTGTTCCCATTCCGATTTATGTGCCGCTCTAACTGGTTGTTCTGGCGTTTGTAAGAACTGGTCGGGTAAAACATGGTGTACGTTAATGGTTTTGATATTTAGTGAAACATGAACAGCTTTCTCCAAGTGCAACGTAATAAGAGCACTACTCTTAAAAGGATATCTGAAATCTATCAACGTGGGTTTCTGTGGACTGGTTATGAACAATGAATATCTTACCTGTTGCAGATAGCTTTACAGTGTGAGTTTAAGTCTGACTGGAATGACTCAATCAAACTTGGCCAAGATCAATTTTATCAATTCCAATCATAAAAATCTCAAAGTGGTTTATGTGAACATTATTTTATGAAACTTTACGTCTCCATTTATTTTGTATTACATGGTTTTTTTTATATAATACTATGGGTTTTTACACAATAGACCATGTTGGACCGCAGCTTGCTACCAACAGTGACCAGTGACAACAAGAGCTGAAAACTTTAACTTGTTAGGAGAAATAAGATCTATTAAAAATCTATAGAAGTACCTTCAGTTAAACTTCTATTGTTTAGTTGTTTTTGTACACAGCATTACTTCAGCATTACTTCAGCATTACTTCAGCATTACTTCAGCATCATTCA